TTTCATGACTGATCAGTCAGTAGCATAATCAATAGCAGTGATTATTCATCAATTTTCATTTGATGTTTACAGTAGTATGTCTATGAGATTCATCTCTCATTATTTAAACAGTTGTATTATACATTTCATCTGATGTTACACTTTCTTGTATTCTAACTCATTCTTAGATTCTTTTGTAACCTGGTAATTCAGGCACTTGTGAGTGTATATCTGAATGTTCTCAGTCATACTTGACAAGTACACTCTTGATTTGAGTGCACTTATAAGTTCAGAGCTTTCTAAGTGACTGAATTCCTTGTGCATGCAAGTTATCAAGTCATGTTTAAATGAATATTCTAGATAGAGAGCTTCTGTGTATTCTAGATTGCAGCAAAGCATAACATCATTTTTCAATTTTCTCTGCTTGAAGTTCAGAAGCATCTCTTCTATCACTTTTATAAGATGCTTATTATCTGATATCTTGTCATTCTTCAAGTAAGAGATCATTGTATTCACTTATTCTGATTCCTTGCATCTTCTCAGTATATTTAATATGAACTTCTCTTATATCTGATTCACAGAATTCTCACTTATGAAATCAGATCTGTGACTGATTGCATCAGATATTACAGTATCTGATCTCTTTCAGTATTTAATATTAAGATTATACACTTGAAACTCTGAGATTCAACATACTAAGTATTTGAAAGATTTTATTATTAATTGTAGATAGATGAGACTTTCATAATTCATGATCATCATTGTTATATGCTCATTGTTAATATATCTATTTCATAACATCAGCATATGCTTAATCACTAGTAATTTCTTTTCATACACTGAGTAATTGAGCTTAATGTTTGATAGTTTCCTATCATTGTACATCACTGAGTGCAGCTTGCTATTCTTACTTATCTGTAGAAGAGTGTCTCTGATAGCTCATTCAGATATATCTGTCTCAATGTAGAAAGATTTATTACAATCTGATTGAATAAGCACTGAGAATATTATTACACATTCTCTCAGTATGAGAAAAGTCTTCTTATACACAGTATTTCAGATGATTGAATAAAACTTCTTCTTTCACAGATTTGCATCTATTTCTCTTAAGAGATCTGAGAGTAATACAGATATTTATATGAAATTCTTGATGAATCTGTAATAATATGAGACTAACTTAAGAAACTATTATATATAATGTATGTTTCTCAGCTGCAGTTAATTTACTATAACATTCAATTTCTCTGAAATGAGATATATACAGTCATCACTTACTATATATTCTACGAACTTTAACTCTTCTATTTCAAATATATACTTTGATGATTTGATATAGAGCTTATACTCTGTTGAAGTTGTAAGCACTTTATCAAGATACTTCAGATATTCATTGTATAAGTTTGAAAAGACTAGAATGTCATTGAGATATATGAGATATAAGGTTTCATTCTGTTTATAAAGAATTGTATTCATCATTATTTAAAAGATGATAGATGCATTTATCAGACTGAATAATATTATCAGAAATTCAAACTTCTTTTATTATATATTAAATGTGATTTTCAGTACTGACAGTTTATCTACATGAATCTGTCAGTATTCTGAGAGAAGATTAATCTTTGATAGATATCAGATATTTTTAACTATATTCAACTGTTATTGAATCTGTGATAGTGAATATTCATTCTTGATTATAAGCTTATTAAGTGATTGATAATTAATACATATCTGTCACCCTTTATCTGTCTTTTTCACAAATAGAACTGAAAAGTCTCATGTACTTGATGAGAGTTATATAAGACTATATTTCAGAAGCTCTGTGATCTCACACTTCTGTTCTTCAAGATATATTTGTAACAGAGAATACATATTTTAATTGACTGATTTCACATTCTCTGTGTCAATCTCATATATAAATCCTCATTCTGATGACAATTCTGATAAAAGATCTGTTCAGAAGATCTTCTCATACTTCTTCAGAAGCTTCTTCATAGACTTATTCTCTTATATATTCTTTATCTTGATTTTCTTCACTTTCAGATTCTGTATAATATACAGCATACTTTCAGATGAGATCTTATAAATCATTCTCTTTGTTTATTAATATATAGACAGATTTAATTCTTCTATATCAGAGACATGAAATGTCCTTCTCATATCAGTTAATAGAATTATATGAACTGTTTTCTTCTTATCAGTCAACTGTATATGATATGTATATCATTGAATCTGCAGATTGAACCTTTGAAATTAATTAAGTCTGAAAATAAGATTATATTTCACATTCTGCAGCTCTTACACTCAAATATAGCAAGATTATTCTCTGAAATGCAAGAGAACACTTACTCTTACAGATGATATCAAATATCAGTTATTAGATAATCTTATATATCAGAGATTCTTCACTCAGTGAATCTCTTTCAGTCTTTGAATTATATAATTTTTAATATATTATATAGAAGCTTCTATATCTGCTAATATCTTTGCAGTCATCTCTCAATTCTTACTCAAGTATCTCTTATATATTAATATTTCAGGTCTCAAGATATTGAGATAAGTATCTGCTTTATCATTCTCACTCACATCTCATTCAGAAGTCTGCTTTCTCTTGATATTCACAGAATTCAAAGAGTTATCTAACACAGATATCTCTTTTACTTTAAAGACCTTTCATACAATATCAGTAAGTGTCTCTGAGCTCACTGATTCTGCTAGTTTTTTCACTCTCTTACTTTTCTTAACTGTGTATACTGTGTGTAATCTTTTACATCATGATTTTAATATTCACAGTTGAAATAAGCTCAATACTTATAATATCAAGATTTTCACTCAGAGAATTTCTTTTTCAGAGAATTCAGTGCTTTAGTGATGATATTCAAATCTAGATTTATCATATCTGAGTGTATAACTTGTGTTATAGAAGTCTGATTATCTATTCTTCACTGAGATATACTTAATTACAGTATTTTCTGTTACAATTGACTTATTTGTTTCTGTATAATAAGAATATTATATACTTCTTTTACTGTATCTCATTATAAGATTAAGCATTTTCATTCTGCTCTTAACTCAGATGTAAGATCATGAATAAAGATCTGTAAATAGAAAGATATTGAAAGCTCTTTATTCAATATAAAATAGTATAAACTGAAGTGTGTGAAGTATAATATAAGATTATTTACTTATCTACACTCAGTAAAGTATTTATAATACTTATCTTATATATTCACTTTCTCAAAGTTATACAAGATTCATTTGAAAAACTCATTCTATATTTATAAGAATGAATATCATTTCAAATCTATGAGATTCATCTTTTTATCAGTTATTTATATTAACTTTGCTTTTTCATGTAGAAATGTGATAGATCTTAAGACTTATTAAAATTCTGTTAACTATCTGTCTATAAGTTTGCATTTAATCTGATAATATAATCACATCTGACTTAGCCAGCTAATTACAGCATTATTTTTTCAGTTATTATTAAAGCTTAGTAACTTCAGCAGATCTCTCAGTTTAATATATCTTATATTCAGATTCTTATTCTGTGCAGCAGTCTCTGATAATGTATACACTTCTGAAGAGATTGTGAATAATTATAGTAAGATCTTCAGATTCAGTGTAGTTATTTATCTATGTAAATATTTAATCTTCTGCTGCAGATCTAAGACCTGATTTTCTCTATTCTTATTGATGATAATGATTGCATCAGTGAAGCTCTTCATAGTGAATACTTAATCTGTAGTAAATGTCAATTGTTATTTAACTTTCATCTCAGCCTGTTACTGTGTACACAAGGTCTCAATTTCATTTAGAATTCTCATACATTATACATATACAGAGCTTCAATTTCAGTTTAACAGTCTCAGCTAGTTTTCTTACTACTTTGAGTAAACTCTCTGAGAGATTCTGTATATCTTTCAGTTCAGATAGCAGAGAAGAGTGTTTATATTAACTAGAGAAGATATTCATTTCAGTGATTTCTCATTGATTGTACAATGTCTATTATTATATCACTATATAATTATATAATTTCTGTTATTATTATACAACTTCAGTGATAATCATCTCTCTTTTTATTCTTCTTTTAAGTAGAGAGTGAACTTCTTTGAATCTGATTCATCACTTTCATTCTCTTTCTCATATCTCATCTATTCACATTAGACTGACCGTGTGACTGTGTCTGAGACCAGGACCAGATTTTTTAATAGTCTCATTATCAATTCGACTGATCCCATTACACAGTTTTAACATTAAATAGTAGTCTCATACTGTCTCAGTGAGACTTACTGTCTACTCTTGTCACATTTTTCAAATAAGATCATGATTTTCACTTCTCAATTTAAATTATTTTTATTGCTTTAAATGACTTTAAATCTCATTTAAGTGTTATTGAAAAGTATTACTTTTTAAAAAATTAAAAATAGTCTAAAAAAAACCTTAAAATGTCTAAAAATAGTAACTTTATGTCAAGAATGAAACTAAATGAGATCAAATGAAATCACTTTCTTATTTTTTTTAAGTCATGGTTTCATTTTAAGATCTGATATATAGTCACTTTACATGTTTTTTTGATAGCCAGTCCCAGCAGGATTCACACCAAGAAATGTATGAGATCAGATCAAATGAGATCAAACATGAAATTCATGGTCTCAGCGGCCAGTCTAATTCACATTCCATACATGATATTTGTCTGAATGTGAAGTTTTCCCTTAACAAGTGAAGCAGTATTAATTGAATACTCTTTCACTTACTACTCTTTATACACTATCTTTTAAGATGTTTTTAGAACCACACTGACATGATAACTATAAATCACTTTATAGACAGAATTATCATGCTCTGAAGAAGTCTGCACTTCTCACCAGTTTTTAGACATGCTATCAGATGTGATTCAAAGGTTGCTTGAGCCAGTGTACAATTACAGGCGTACGCCGGCTTCTTATATACATTATCTAAATTAATTAGTGGCCGCTATGGCCCCTTTACATTCGTAAGCAAGTTCGGAAGCGGCCGCGTTATTATCCGACGGTCGTACGTTCTTCCGAACCACAGCAGAGATTGAGAAGGCAGTGTGCAGAGTCTCCCCGAACAAGACCCCTGGAGCTGATGGCATCACCAACAGAATCTTGCACCAGACACTTGATATCCTCCTTCTCAGCCTTCATAAACTCTTCAATGCATGTCTTGAACAGGGCTACTGTCCCACTCATTTCAAAGATACCATCACAGTAGCCCTCTGAAAGCCAGGAAAAGACGACTACACACAACTCAAAGTGTACCAGCCAATCACTCTTCTCAGCATGTTGAACAAGGCTCTGGAAGCCATCATTGCCAACTGACTTGCATATATCACTGATGTCTACCGACTCCTCCCCAGCCGCCACATGGGGGGCCGGAAATTGGCCTCGACTGAGCATGCCATGCACTTCCTTCTTCAACAAATACACCAGGCATGGTCTGAAGGCAAGGTGGCCTCTCTACTTCTACTTGACATGTCAGGAGCATATGACAATGTCTCTCAACAATGACTTCTACATAACCTTCAGAAACACCGAGTTAGTGAGAGGATCATAGAGTGAATAGAGTCATTTCTAAGCAACTGATCTACCACTCTTAAGCTACAGGAGTACACTGCACCATCAGCCCTGATTCAAACTGGAATTTCACAAGGATCACTTATCTTGCCGATTCTGTATCTTTTCTACAATGCTGACCTCATTGAAGTATGCAAGACAGAGGAGACAGAGGCGGTTGAATATATTGATGACATGTCAATCCTGGCTGTAGGCCCGACCGCACAGTGCAACTGCAAAACCCTTAAGAAAATCCACTGAAACACTGAACAATGGGTGCGAAGGCATGGCTCCCAGTTTGCACCAGCAAAGTATGAACTTGTCCACTTCACAAGAGATTCAAAGACAAACAGTACACACGCCTTGCACCTACCGCACGCCACAGTCAAGGCCTTCCCATCATGCCACTACCTGGGCATCCACATGAATACCAAACTCCGATGAGACTATCACTGCGAGAAGGTAGAAGCAGGGGCTATGAAACAACTCTCAGCATTATCAGCCCTGGCATCCTCAATATGAGGAACAGGAGCTATTAATCTCCAGCAGGTGTACAGAGCAATGATCATATCTCAGATGCTGTATGGCTGCTCTGCATGGCATATTCTCAATAATGGCTACATGAGCTGAGGCAGTGCCATGATAAACACCATCAAGAGGATTCAGAGACATGCAGCCCAAATAATCACAGAAGCATTCTGAATAACCGCTGGGCCAGCTGTGAATGTAGAGGCACACCTGCTTCTGATACAACAGCAACTTGAGCAAACAGCGCTGGAAGCCACTATGCACATACAAAGCTCCCTGTTACACAATGACATGGCAACATCTAGTGAAAGCAATACAAGAACCAACTGAAAGTGCAATGCACTGAGCCCTCTCAACTGTTTCTCTGGCATTCTGGAACACAAATACAATGTGCAACTCAACTGACTTGAGAAATACCAACTGCATGTTGTACCGCTGTGGTGGACCCCACCTCTCATCTGCATAAAGGATTCGGCCAATGACGCGATCAAGGAACACGACACCATGGAACCGACGACGATGTGCATCTACACAGATGGTAGTAGCATCAATGGTCATGTTGGGACAGCAGCAGTGGCGCTCTCACTTCAGGACAATGGCATCTGCATGCAATGGACCCAATACATGGGTGCATTCAGCACCTCCACGGTGTACTCGGCGGAACTCAAGGGCCTGGTGTTAGCTCTTCAGATGGTAATTGACATCCATGCAACTGACACTGCCCCCGGGAAATGCGTCATCTTTACTGACAATCAAGCTGCTGTTCAAGCAGTCTGGAACCCCAAGAATTCATCAGGCCAGTATATCCTCATCGAAGCTATACAAGTACTCGATAGGCTGTGAGACCTTGGATGGAAGATGCAATTTCACTGGATTCCAGCACACATCAGAGTACCAGGAAATGAAGAAGCAGACAGACTGGCAAAGCAGGCTGCTGACCCTGCCTTGAACACTGAACAATCTGAACTGGATCTGATATGAATGCTGCTGGCATCCATGAAATTCACCATCTGCCAGGTGATGAAAGGTGAATGGAAATCATCATGAGAGAAAGAAAAGCACAGTAGAGATCTCTTTCAACTTGAGACTTGATCAGGAAAAGTGACTCTCAACACACACATGAGAACACACAGAGTAATTAGCTCCATGATCACACAAATGTGTACAGGCAAGATCGGCCCCCGTGCATATCTTCATGACATCAATAAGGCTGACACTGACAAATGTCAGTGCAGGTACAGACTGCAGATTATGTAACACATTCTTCTGAAATGTCAGAACTGAGCAGAAGAACAATATTAAATGTGAGTAGATAAGTCTTTATATATGAATATTAAACACATTCTCTGTAGCTCATTAATGACAGTATAAGTAGTAAAGATGATGATCAGAACAGGTCTTCTGAGTCAATTTCAGACAGTCTCATTCACAGTACTTCAATATAACTAGCATGTGAGTGTAAAACCAGTAGACAGAAGTTGAGAAGAGTCAGGAAAGACCTAATAAGACAGAGATACAGAACAGATAAAAAGACTATAAATAGAGAAGCTCTAGTGTGAAAAGAAAGTAATTTATATAAGAATAACTTGTGTCACAGCAGAATGCTTCTTATAAGAAGAGCTGAATTTTTAAGAAGAAGAGCAGAAACTTCTGTATATATAGTAGTACACTATATAGCTGTCTGAGAGCAGCTGAAACAGTCTATAAATAAATCAATCAATCAATCAGAACATGTGTAATTAACTGAGAATAATAGCTAACTGAGAATAATAGTTAACTGAGAGTGACTGCTGAGTGAGAGTAACAGCTGACTAAAAGTGATAGCTGACTGAGTATAACAGCTGACTGAGATAACAGATAACTGAGAATAATAGATAACTGAGATAGTAGATAACTGAAATCTGAGAGTTAAAGATTAATCAAGTCAGAGACACAGTAATAGAAGAAAATTGATAAAAGTTTAAAAACTTAAACTGATTTCTATAACTCTATTATAATTAAGAATTCACAGCTTAAATAAATATATTTTTCTCTCTATAATTTTATAAATTTTTAAATAATAATCTTACTTTTTAGTTTTAACTTTTATTACTCTCTATTCTTAATAACAGAGTAATTATCTTATTTTAATACTATATATAAAATACTTCTGTACTTTTACTTCTCAGTATAAAAACATAGAGATATTAAGTAAAGAATAATAATAGAAAGTATTACAGTATATTATCAGCTGATATTTTAAAATTATATATAATAATATTTACAGCTTCTTTAAAGTTAGAGAGCTGTGTAGAAGAATTAAAAGAATTATAAATAAAATAAATAATAAATAAGTAAATAAAATAATAATAAATTATAAGTAAAATAAATTACAGATAAAATTAAATAATATATTAAATTATAAAAATTTTTAAAGTAAGAGTTAATTTTACTAATAAGATATAGAGAGATCTAAAGATCTATATTATACAAAACTAAATTAATAAGATATAGAAGTATAAAGTATAGAAGTATACTTTTAATAGAAGAAGTTACAGTATTTAAATAAGATTTATAATCTATTTATAAAACTAGGTCAGAGATTTATTATAAAATAATTTACTTTATTTATATTTTATTATTCTTAATTTAATTCTGACTATGAATATAATTATAAAAAGATTAATTCTTTAACTATATAATTTAAACAGTAGTTTATTAATCTATATTTTAATATTTTAAATATATATTTACTTTATTACTTAGTAGATAGAAGATTAAACTCTTAGTAATAATATTTTCTATTTATTTTATATAGTACTTATTCTCACTCTGAAAGAAATACTTAATTATTATTATATTATAAGACAGAGTATTAGTTTCTGATAATAAGCAGAAGATGTACACTTTTAAATAAAAGAGATTACAGTATTGAGATAATATTTATAGTATATTAGTTACTATATAAAGTACTTCTATAACAGATGAGAATATTACTATAAAATAACTTACTTTATTTATATCTATTATTCTCAGTTCAATCTTAATAGCTGACTCAGTTATTGAAAAGATTAATAGTTTTTATTCTACTTCTTACTATATAATATAATATAAGCTTAATTATATAAACTTTGATTAGAAAGATTCTTGATTAACTAGTCTTTATTATTAAAAGACTGAAGTTTACAGTTATTTTTAATAATACTATAGATAATAATTATAACTCTTCTTCTCTTTAGATATCAAATTCTTATATATTATAAATATTAAGTATTCTTATATCTTTCAGAGTATTATCAATACTTTATTAGAAGAATAAGCTAGCTCAGAATATACTCTTTATTATCAGAGTTTAAATTATAAAAATATTGAGATTTAATATATCTAATATTTTTTAATTTAATATAGTATTTATAATGTAAAACTAATATTCTCTCTAATATTTCAGAGACTTCTAATTTCAGACTCTCTTAAGTCTGTTAATAAGATATAATCTCTTCTTACAGCACTTTATTAAAGTATTAAGATATATAAATATTCTTAAAAGATAAGAGAAAATCAGTTTTATACTACTTTAAATAGTAATATTACTTCAATATCAGTATTATTATTTACTATAAAAACACTGTTTAAGAAACTTTATCTTGATCTCTGCTCTTAAGCAGATCTTTACAGAGAACTGAGACTGAATAAATATAAGTATATAAGTAATATATTAATTTAAACTTCATTAGTAGCTTGAGTAAGAAAGAAGATAAATAATTATAATAAAAAGATTGTTATTCAGAGTTCTTATTCTTGATAAAAAGAAACTATTTATATAAATATAAGTTCTCAGAATTACTTCTATCTTATCTATTACTAATATTTCTTATCTCTAAATATAATTATAACTTGAATATGAAGAAGCTTGAGTTAATACTCTCTTAAATTATGAATTACTATCTAAGAGCTGTTAATATCTATCAGATAACTAATTTAATTGTGAAGAGTATTTTAAGTAAGAGTATTATACTTACTGAGCTGAATTATATTAAGATTATAGAGAAAATTAAGAAATTTAAAGAAAAAAATTAACAAGCTCTGTAATCTCTCTTACTATCAGTTATCAGTTTAATTAATCTTTTATATAAAAGTAAATTCAATGAAATTCAGTTTAAATTAAGAAAGAGATACTGAGAAAGTTATATAGAGTTAGAATAAACATTTTAATACAGTATATAATAATTATAAAAATAACTAGTTTTTTAAATAATTAAGATAGTTTATTAATCTATAGTTTTATTAGATGTTTTAAATAGTGTACTATTTCTTTATTAGAATAATAGAAAGTAAAG